GCAGCCTGTGTCCTGAGCCCTGTCTCCCCCTCCGCATTTGCTGTCCCCCTACCTGGTTTCACTTTCCCCACCATTTATTTTAAAGCTTTTATTTATCTGAGAGAGAACACGAGTGGGGAGGGGCAGAGGGAGAGGGAGAAGCAGGCTCCCTGCTGAGAGCAGGGAACCCATGTGAGGTTCAATCCCAGGATCCCGGCATCATGACCTGAGCCGAAGGCAGACTGTTCACCGACTGAGTCACCCAGGTGTCCCTCCACCACTTTAAACCTTATTATTGAAATATAATATAGGTGCAGAAAAGTTCATTTAGGTGAACTGCTGGATGGGTTTTCCAATCGTCATGGGCTTAAGGAATTTATTTTTATTGTGAAATATACATAACATCCTTACGATTCTGTTTTAAGTGTACAATTTGGTGGTATTCAGGAGAGTTGCACTGCTGTGCACCACCCATCTCCAGAACGTTTTCGGCCATGTCAGCTGAAACTCTGTCCCCAGGCAACACCAGCCCCCTATGCCCCTTCCCAGCACCCGGGAACCAGCATTCTACTTCTGTCTCTAAGCATTTGATGCCTCCGGGGACCTCCTGAAGGGCTATGGACTTCTGAGATGAAGTGGACTGCCTGTGGCCCTGAGACCAGACACAATGTGCCGCTCATTTCTTTTTACTGATGTAAATTTATTAATATCCAGCTGTGTGCTGACAGTCCCCACCAGCAAGGGTGCCTTGAAGACTGTTCTCATGGATTTTTCTCTCAGCTCCCACCATCACCGGGAGAAACTGCTCTGCTGCTAAATGTTTCAGTGTCAGAACGTGGTCTCCAGGGTGAGTGACGGGAGCTATTGGCTTCCCAGTGATCAGTGGATCACTGTCGCAGTAATCAGTGGAGTCCTTCCCTTTAAGTGGATTCGGTTACATGCTCAGTGGTGGTTTGAATGCCATCTCTTAGAATAAATCGAAGCTGCATTTGAAGGATGCTGCTTCCAATAGTGATGATTTCTGAATTTTTCTTCTTCATCTGCTCTGAAAGGCTTGCTCCCTAAATACGAAGGTTTTGTATTCGAGCGCCTTGGCTTCAAAGAAAAATGTGTGAAGCATGCAGTTCTGCCTCATTCCTGCCCCAATTCTTTCCCTAAATCGGAATCCTGCGTAGCTGAGAAGGAACATCTGGAACTTTTAAAGACCTGTTTCATCTGGGAGAAAGGCACATCTGGTTTAGAGTGTCTCTGGAAAATGAAAAAGCAGAATCAGAATTTGAAAAGATTGGAGTGTGTTGGAACTTGTCCATGCCTTATTCCAGAGCATGAGAATCGTGAGGACATTTGGTTTGGAGGAAGTGGGCAGTCCTGCAAATGAGGCCTTACTCTCTCCAGAGCCCCTTAGAGCCAACCCAGTGAGCGGTCCAGGCGTCAGAAAAGTGGATCAGAATTTTGTCAGAGGAGTTAGAGAAGACAGAAGAGAAGCTGTATTTCCCTCCACTCTAAAGTAACAAGGACCAGGACGCCTGGGTGGCTCAGTCGGTTAATTGTCTGCCTTTGGCTCAGGTCATGATCTCTGGGTCCTGGGATCTCCCTGCTCTGCTGGGAGTCGGCTTCTCCCTCCCTCTGCAGCGCCCTCTGCTGTTCCCCTGCTTGTGCGTGCACGCTCTGTCTCTCTCAAATAAATAAATAAAATCTTAAAAAAGAAAATAAAGTAACAAGGACCAACAACCTCTAACCCCCTGTTGTTTTAGAGGAACTACTGAGGATGGATGAAGTTTCATTGGAAAATTATGGTTCTCAACTCATAGTGCCCTCCCTGTATTAGAAGTACACAGGCACGCCCTGTGCCACGTGATTTTGTATTACTCTCCCACTGGTATGGATGGAGTATCTGTCCTCCCTTCAGTGGTTTTAGGCTTTCCCACGTAACTTGCTTTGGCCAACAGAATATGGGCAGAAGTGACAGCGTGCCATCTCACTCAGCCCTGTTATGCTGATGCCTTTGACGTGAGAAGAGCATGCCCTGGGGGAGCTGCCGATCCCAGGGGAATGAGACCAATCTCAGGGACCAAACCTGAATCTGAGCTGCACCTTGGAGCCAGGCTGACCCGCAGCCTAAAGTATACTGATCTTGTTGGCTTCTAAATTCATGAGTGATTAAATATATGCTTGTTGTGGGCCACTATATTTTGGGGAAGTTTGTTACAGGGCAGTATTATGGCAATAGATGACTCATGCAAAGACCAAAATGCAGAAGCAGAAAGTAAAAGGCTGAGTGAAGCAGACGGCTGATGCCTAAGGAAGGAAGGAAGTGATGGTGGGATCTGAACAAAGAACAAGTAGGGACGGGCCTCCACGAAGAATAAGGTGAGGACGAGAGGCAAGGGGTATTAGAGCTGCCACAGCTCCTTTAGATGTTGGGATGGGCATTGGCATAGCAACAACACACGCGCACACACACACACACACACACACACACACACACACGACCTAGCCCCTCTGTGCCTTTGATGAGCACTGGGCTTTTCTGGTGTCAATTGTTCAATGTTATCTGAGAGATTTCCAGGGAGGGAGTCGGTGTTGGATTCCCAGGAAGGTGTAGACTCCCAATTTTAGGGTCTACCTGGGCTCATGGTTGCAATATATGGATGGAGCAATAAAGGAAAGGTGGGACATGTGAGATCTAAGGACAGAACTCTGCTGAATGGGTATTAGCACCACCGAAACTTATTTTTTTCTTTTTTTTTAAAGATTTTATTTATTTATTTGAGAGAGAAAGAATGAGACAGAGAGAGAGCATGAGAAGGGGAGGATCAGAGGGAGAAGCAGACTCCCCGCCGAGCAGGGAGCCCGACGTGGGACTCGATCCCGGGACTCCAGGATCATGACCTGAGCCGAAGGCAGTCGCTTAACCGACTGAGCCACCCCGGCGCCCTGAAACTTATTTTTTTAATTTAAATTCAATTAATTAATATGTAGTGTATTATTAGTTTCAGAGGTAGAGGTTCATCAGTCTTATATAACACCCAGTGCTCGTTCCATCCCGTGCCCTCCTTAATGTCCATCACCCAGTTGCCGAAATTTTTTTTTTTTTTAAGATTTTCTTTTAAGTAATCTCTACACCCAATATGGGGCTCAAACTCATGACCTGGGATGGGCCCTCTGAAGCACATACGCCGGGTGTGAGCTGGGTCTGTAAGGTCTTGTGACCTTGGGAAACTTATTTAATCTCTTCAGATGGAGATCTGGAGAATGGAAATAGTACCTACCCCATAGGCTTGTCCTGAGGTGTGAGAGACAGTGAGCACCTGCCACACTGCCTGGCGCAGAGTGAGGCCCTCCCTAGATTAACACCAGTGACCATGCTGCCATTTTGTAACGAGAACTGATATCCAATGTTCAGTAAGGAACTGACACATCTTGTTTTTCTGAACCTAGATATTTCATGAAGACGGGAGTCCCACCCAATGGATTGTAACACCTGACCAAGTCCTGAACTCTCAGTGGCATGCTCTGAGGAGAAAGCAGTTCTCCCACCATTTATTATTTTCTTCTTCAGTCCACATCAGTCCAAAGTCACTGGCTTTTGTTGTTCCTCTTCTGTTTTTCTCAGGGAAGTCTGTTTATTCTGAAGCTTGTAGGGGAGAGCAAGTTGGAGGTGGACCTGAAGAAGCAGATGGCAGAACTCAGTAGGATGCCCTACCTTATCACCAGCTTGGGCTGTGGGCAGCATTATTTTCTAGTTGGCTCTTCTGCCACGAGCTGGGTAACCCCTCTGTCGCACCTCTGGTATATAAAAAGGATCAGATGACCTTTATCACAACTTTGGCTGGGGTATTTTTAGCTAGACTGTTCTCTAAACACTAACTTGCAGTTAGTTTCCTAATCTACTGTATATGATTGCTCTAGTTCTGTCTTGTGCTCTCCTTTTCCAGGGGGAGAATTTCCCAGATCAGTGGGCTCCCTGCCCAGCCATTTTTACATTTTTTCTTAGAGTTTGTATAGAAGAGCCCATCTGCCCGAGAAGACATTTGCTTCCAATAGCCAGTCCTTCTGGAGGCTCTTTGTCCTTGGTCCTGGTTCAATACCTGAGTTGGGGGCACAAGGGGGTTTAGCAGCCCTCTTCATAGAGTATGTGGTGCGCAGGGTAAGGGGGATGACCTTACTCCCTCCCCAAAGGCCTCTGACTCTTCAACAACTTGCCACATTGAAAATTGCTTCTACTGTTTTCTCTCCTCTCTCCTTCCCGAAGAGAACAGGCCAAATGCTGTTCAGCTCCTCTCGCATCAAATTTGAGTTTGTACTTCATTATAGAAATCAGTCGTAGCAGGAAATGCTCTTAACAAAAGTGCACACTTGCTAGCTTCTTACCACATGCATGTCATTCTAAGTGCTTTATGTGTGTTTGTTCATTAATCCTCTCAATTACCTTTCAGACTGGGTGATACCATTATCCCCCTTCAGAGATGAGGAAACTGAATCTCACAGAAGCTGAGTAGCTTGCTCAGAGGTGCACAGCTCCCTCTCCCCGCCCTTCCCTACCCCTTCTTCCTTCCCTCCATTGCCTCCCAAGGTTGCAGGGGAACGCATTCCGTACAGGTCAGCCTCTGGGCACAGAGTAGGGTGGTGACAGTGGGGAGTGGGCCTGGAGGGGCAAAGGGAGGAAGTGACGATACGTAGCACACATTGCTTTCGCCTCCTCCTTCCACTGGGGGGTCTGCAGGGACCATTTCCTCCTGGGTCAAACCTGGCATTCAAGGAATTCCACAACAACCCCACCAAATTCAGCCTTCTCTCTGAATCTGTAAAGAACAGGCCTCGCACTCCATTTGCTGGAATCCTTACTCTGTGTGTCTGTTTTATATATTGTGTATGTTATTTAAATACATTTAAAATCTTATTTGTTTATGTTACTCTGATATCCAGGCCAAGGGGATTTTTGTGCTTATGGGGGCAAACATCACCCCAGGCCTCTCCTGGGCAGTCTGGCAGCCTAGGATGGGAATAGCCTGGCCGGTATGGAGGTGGCAAATGGACCCTCTCCCTGCTGAGAACACATACTAAGAAGGTTCTCACGGAGTGGTGAGACTCTCAGCTCTGAATCTAGAGAGACTGGGTTTACAATCCAACTTTGTCACTTACTGATTGGACTAGTACTTCACCCCCTGGAGTCTGTCTTTCCTCATCTGTAAAATGGGGATGGCTCTTACAGCACTTTACTATGGTAAGGATTAAATGAGATCATTATGTACAGAGATTGGCATATCAGAGACTCTCCCCTGGGGAAGGGGCTGGGCTTTACTCACCTTGCAATCCCTGCCCCTAGCACAAGGCCTGGCATATAGCAGGTGCTTGGGAGCTGTTTCCTAACCTGAACGGATGTTGAGGCCCTTTGAGGGTTTGGGCACTGGTAGTGTTAGCGGGCTCTGAGATAATCAATGCTCCCTCTCCCTCGTCCCTGCCGAGCCCCCTTGCCTACCCTTGAAGGTCTTCGAAGGTGATTGTGTGTCAGTAATCCACTCTACCCCCATTTTCCCAGCGCCCTCTTTGTCGGAGGCCCTGCGAGGCCTCAGCCTGAAGGCAGCTGTACTCGCCAGCACCTTGTATTTCCCTTGGCCTGGCTTACACTGCCCTCTGCCGTGTGCTTGCGGGACAAGCGTGTTAAGGGAGGGTTTGCGGTGACTTTTTCTTGACATTGGGGAAAAGAGGCTCCCCTGTAGGGGCTGTTTGCAGTGCTGTTGTGAGGAGAGGTAGTATTTAAGACCCCCTTCCCAATTTAGCTTGCAACTCCTGAGGCTTGCCAAACACAAGAGCCTTTTTACCAACGTCCCCGACCACTCTGGCCATCAGATAATGCCATCTTTGTAGGCTCAAATTTCTCAGGTACTTTGTGTTTGGACTTGGCCAAAAGGAACAGAGTAGAGTTTATTTGATACTATTCCCCATCTGCTGTCTAGTTTCTTCTGAATCCCTGGATACCTAATTCTTAGAGCTGTCCCAGCTGTCCTTAAGCGTCTGGGGTCACAGGAGACATTGGAGCCAAGTGAGAACGGGAATGGACCCTCCCTAGCTGGTGCTTGCAGCAGCCTGCCTCATCCACCTGCTTACACCATCCAGCCTTCTGTCTGTTGTTCCTTCTCAGAGCTCATCCCGGTCTGGGTCTGTGAACACGAAATAGGGTCCTGCACGTCAGAGTGGGAAATTGGGGGCTAAAGACCAGGCTACCTACCATTGACCTTGCTGTGGAACCTGCTAGAAGTATACACCAAAGCCCCAGCTGAGATCCCAGCTGATGGCCAACACAAGTCACCAGACATGAAGGAGGAAGCTCCAGGCACCTTCTGACTGCAACCTCATGAGAGACCCCAAGCAGGAACAGCCTAACTTAGTCTAGCCAATCCCTAGAATCAGGAGATAATATGATAGTTGTATAAAGCCCCAGAGTTTGGGGATGACTTGTTATACAGAAATAGATATCCTGAAAAAGTGGTTTATTAGGATTGTGGGATTCTGGGTATCATCACTGCTTTTCTATATTTTCCAAGATTTCTGCAGTGACCATTTTTTTCTTTCTTTTTTTTAAAGATTTTATTTATTTATTTGACAGAGAGAGACACAGCGAGAGAGGGAACGCAAGCAGGGGGAGTGGGAGAGGGAGAAGTAGGCTTCCATCGGAGCAGGGAGCCCGATGTGGGGCTTGATCCCAGGATCCTGGGATCATGACCCAAGCTGAAGGCAGACCCTTAACGACTATGCCACCCAGGTGCCCGACCATTTATTTCTTTTATAATTGATTAGAAATTGTTATTGAGAATAAAAACAGGGGCGCTTGGGTGGCTCAGCTGATTGAGTGGTTGAGTAGCTGACCTCAGCTCAGGTCATGGTCTCCGGTCTTGGGATCCAGCCGTGCATGAGGCTCCCCCCATCAACAGGGAGTCTGCTTCTCCCTCTCCCTCTCCCCCCCCCCCCCCCCGCTCCTGCTCTCTCTCTCACAAATAAATAAATAAAATCTTAGAAGAAGAAAAACATGGTCTAATTTTTTTTTCCACTTCACCAAGGGAGAAATTAGGTCCGAATTTGAATTGAGGGACTTAAACCTGACTTGGGGAAAAATTTTCCATGAAAGAATAATTAGATGCTGGAAAGCATTAGAGACACATCCAAGTTGGTATGATGGAAAGAATGGTCGATTTGGAGTGGGGAAACTTGGAAATGAATCTTAGTTTTTTTTTTTTTTGTGGGGGGTGACCTTGAGCAAGTCCTTGCTCAAATTCAGCTTTCTATTTTGAAAAATGCAGCTGGCTGCTTAGGGAAGATAACATCCAGCAGGGCGCCTGGCCCAGAAAAGTAGTAGGTGATCCTGCCTAATCAATGCCAATTATGAACAGGCATCTGCAAGCTCTGTGCACGGCCCGTCCTTCACTGCCACCAGAGGCTACAGTTCCAATAATGAAAATCTGCCTGGAGAAAAACCACAACTCGTAAAAGAAAAAAAAAAAAAAAATCCAGCAACCCTGAGCAGCTCTCCCAGCGGTCCTGGCCTGCGCCGCCCGCCCTAGCTGGCTGGGGGTGGGTAGCGCCGTTCTTTCGGGGACCCGGGCACCCGCGGAGGGCCGGAGCGCGCCGGGCTGGTGTCCTGGCAACCCCGGAATGCGCCTCCGCGCGGGAAGCCGGCGGCCCCGCTGCGCTCTTGCCCTCCGCTCGGGTTCCTTGCCCGCCAGGCGCCCGGCAGTTCCGCCGCCGGTTGGTGGCGTTCATCTCGCCGCATTCTCGGTGGACCGGGTGGAAGCCCTGGAGGTGGAAAGGGAAGGAGCACCTGCCGCGGGCGGGGGCAGTAAGTCTGGGCGGGGGAGAGAACCCACGGGAACTCCGGAGACGCCCCGACCGAGAAAAGCCCAGGGAGAGGGAAGCTCTGATTAAGATGCCAACCCTGCCCTCTGGACTTTCCAATCAATGGCTTGTAGACTTTCTCTTTGCTTTGATTGATGCCTTTCTTACAAAGGTCTTTTCTTGGTCTCCGGGTTGGTTTTGATACTTAAAATCAACACACGCATAGATGAGTCCATGTCCCCTGGAAACAGTCCATGGAACTGCTCTCTCCCCTCCATCTGCAGAGAGCCCTGTAGCAGAGAGCTGGAGAAGGTTCAAGAGAAAGGAGACTCTGACCTGACCACGGTGGAGAGGAGATACAGTTGAGTTGAAGAAGTCAGGAGGGCTGCGTGTGGATTTGGTCGCCAGATCCACGTATACCAAAGCCGGGAAGTTTAAACCACTTAAAGTTTAAAGGGAGGCCAGTTTGTGGGCATATAAAAAGAATTCCTTGAATAGTAGCCTATGCCTGTGTTGACCCAAGATTTTTTTTTTTTTTAAGCAAAGTTTATTGAGTGATAGTAGAAAGCTCCCGGAGAGGGAGGGACCCAAGAGAGTTGCCACTTAACACAGAATCTGATGAGGCAGATAGTAGGTCAAAGCAGAGGTTCTCACAAATTACCTCCTTCAATCCGGTAACAGCCCCAGAGGTATATTACTAATGAGCAGGAGGAGTTAGAACCATCAATTGTCCAATGTGGCTAGGTCAGCAAGGAGAAAAAGGCTTTGGGCTTCTAACTTTAAGCTCCAGACTTTTCCACAGTTTCCAGGTTGAGCTCAGGTAATGGAACTGCTGTTTCAAAGGTGTTTAAACATGTTTAAGGGGGTACTGGAAGAGCACGGGACCCCGAGATCCCCAAAGATCCGTGACTTCCTTTTCTGCTCTGTAGATGTGTCCACTCAGAAGACCACATCTGAGCTCAGCCTAATGTGGAGTCCATGGGTTTCGGGAAGGAAGGGGCTCCATGAACCAGTTGAAAATGAATGCAAAACTGGGGGTGGATATGCATTTTTCCAGCAAGGAGGGCCCATTGCTTTCATGACTTCTCAGGGGAGTCTACGATTCAAAAAAGGGTTAAAAACCACTGTCCTACACCCTTAGGTTGTTTGTTGAGCCGATAAGCAGGGGTGAGAAACTTGAGTGTTTAAAAGGTATCCACGTTAAGCTAACTTGGCTTGATGTATTATTTTCTGCCCCAGACCATGCTATTGTGTAAATGAGCTGTGATTGGCAAGTGTGTGAAAGCGCCTTGGTTATGTAGAGTGTTATTCCTGCCTAAAGACATGGAAATAATTAGCGTGAATTCCGCAGATGGTACCAAAGAAACAGACTTTCTTCACTCCGCATTTCCCCCTGAATTCCTTTCTAGTTGCCAGAACCTTCTCTCAGTCCTTTCTATTGCGTCATCTTATATCATAGCGTTTCAGCAAACTTGTTGAGAGTCTCCTGTCCTACGGCTGGCTGGACATTGAGTTTGAATACCAATTATTATGCAAAGTGATGACCTTTTCAAGAAGGATGTGCCTTAGCTTCTCTGTATCCCCGCAGCCTCATGAGCTATACAGAGGTGGGGCAGGTGTGGGTGGCTGGGCTGGAGAGGTAATTGACTTGCTAGAAGTAACTGGAGGTTACTTTACACAATGGGAACACCACTGTCAGAACCGAAGGGGTCAGACTTGCAACTGCAGCTCTCCTTCTACTTGAGGAGATGTGGAGTGGCAGCCAGAGGCCGTGGTTAAGTGTCTCCAGGTTGTATTTGAGGCTGAGTGACTTCTAGGAAGATCCTGTAGTCAGGGGATTTGGAGGATGTGCCCTCTGCCTGTTTAGCTGAGAGACCGCTCTTCCGACCCTTGCTTGTCAGACAAGCCTTCCCTGTTACAGCAGCCACCTTCTGGACAGTTGCCAACACAAAACTTAAGCAAACAAGGAAATATGCTAAATTTGGAGACAGCAATTTCACTGCTTGCGGCTCAGGGTTATGTAATATATTTAAATTTTGCCCCTAAAATTGAAAAAACAAAACAAAACAAACCGAGGAACTTGTGATGCCATCCCTAGCAACCAATTCTTGCTTTGGTGAACTCTCAAGTCCTCTAGTGGCAAATATACAATTAGAATTGCTTACATGCTATGAAAAGGCAACCCCTGGGGCGCCCAGGTGGCTCAGTAGGTTAAGCATCCGACTCTTGACTCTCGACTCCTGGAATCGAGCCCCACTTCCGGCTCTGGGCTGGGTGTGGGGCCTGCTTAACATGCTTGAGATTCTCTTTCTCCTTCTGCCCCCCACCCCCAGCATGCACTCTCTCCCTCCCTCCCTCTCTCTAAAATAAATAAGTAAATTTAAAAAAAAGGCAACCACTGTTAAAACTGTTAAAACCTATGGGCAAAACTTATTATAAGTAAATGCTCTAATAAATAACTCAGAACTTACATATGAGTATGAACCTAGAAGATATCTCTACTCTTGCTCTTATTTCTTCTCGACATGTGTAGATCCTTTCTGCATCCTTATAGATAAATTTCATATCTTTTTCATAGATATGTTTCTAGAAGTAGAACCCCCAGATCAAAAGTGCACTTCTCACAGGCTTTGGAGGATGCATATGGCCAAAGTGCTTTTTAGTAAGATGGAGACGTTTCCACCAGCAATGTACAAGAATGCCATTCCTCCAAGCTGTGCCAACCTTGGGTATTTGCAAACTCATAGCAAATACTGGTATCTCATTTTAAATTCAGCTCTTTGATGACTAGGAAGGATGGATTCTTTTCCAAGTGTGTATCGGCTATTTGTGTGTGTGTGTGTTTTAATGAGTTACCTAATCATGTCCTTTGCCCATTTTTTTTTTCTCTTTGGGTATTTTCATCTTATAAATTTATAAAAACTCATAATTTGTCATGACTATTAATGCTTTTTCTTATTGTGTATGCTATGAACTTTCCTCCAGCTTATAGTTTGCTATGGAAGTTTTAAATGTATATGTATTCAAATCTATGCATCTTTTCCTTTATTTTGCCTATATTTGATATCTTTCTTAGAAATAACTTCCCCGAGCTAAGATTATATAAACATTCAATGATCACTTTTTCAGGTACATCCTTTATTTTAAGTTTTATATTCAAATCTATAATTCATCTGGAATTTATCTGGGGATTAATTAATTAATTTTATTTTCATGCAAATGGTTAATCGTTTCAGCAATTTGTTTAAATGTTTTATTTATTTATTCATGAGAATCAGAGAGAGAGAGAGGCAGAGGCAGAGGGAGAAGCAGGCTCCCCACTGAGCAGGGAGCCCGATGTGGGGGACTCCATCCCAGGACCCTGGGATCATGACCTGAGCCGAAGGCAGACGCTTAACCATCTGAGCCACCCAGGCGCCCCTCAGCAATATTTTTGAGTAATCCATTCTTTCCTCATGGACATGAAATGCCTCTATTATATAAAATTTTATTCTATCTACATTTTCTATTTTGTTCTCTTGATTTATCTGTTAGGGTTAGTGTCAGTATCATCTTGATTATTGTAACATCAAGTTACATTTTATAAATTATACTCTATAGCTCTGTAACCTTGAATAAGTAATTGGACATTTTCGACAATTTCTTTATTTGTAAAATTATTTCTATTTTATTTGCAATTATGGTATTTCATTGCTAATACTGTTTACTTTTCTTAAAGATTGGTTTTTCTTGAACTTTGTTTATCTACATTACTCATTTTTTCCATGAAGCCATAGTTCTAATAATCTTTATTTCATTCATTTCTGTTTTTATTTTATGATATCCTTTTTTTTAAAGATTTATTTATTTATTTTGAGAGAGTGAGAATGAGAGAGAGAGAGAGAGAGAGCACATGAGAGGGGGGAGGACCAGAGGGAGAAGCAGGTTCCCCGCCGAGGAGGGAGCCCGATGCGGGACTTGATCCCAGGACTCCAGGATCATGACCTGAGCCGAAGGCAGTCGCTTAACCAACTGAGCCACCCAGGTGCCCCATATGATATCCTTTTTTTATTGTTTTGGGGGGTTTATTCTTTTTTTCCTTATTTCTTGTATTGCAAGTTTAGCTCATTAATTTTGGAATCCCTGTTTTTTTGTTTGTTTTTAAAAATTTACCTATTTGTTTTAGAGAGAGAGAGGGTGAGAGAGAGAGAACACCAGCGGCAGGGATAGAGGGAGAGGGAGAGAGACTCTCAAGCAGACTTCATGCTGAACATGGAGCCCGATGGGGGGCTTGATCTTATGACCCTGAGATCATGACCTGAGCCAAAACCAAGAGTCAGATGTTTAACTGACTGTGGTTCCCAGGCACCCTGGGAATTTTTTTTTTTTTTTTAACACTATAACCTGTCAGATGGACATTTTTCAGAGTTTGCATCTTGGAGGTTGGATTGGTCTTCCTAGTGCAGGGGGCCCAGCAGCAGGTGTGAAGTAGTTGTTAGAAACTTTGCCAAATGAGTGCTGAATAATGCAGAAGGTGTGTCTGTGTCTTGGAAGAACATTCCAGAGGCAGTTGAGGAGCACTCATTTAAGAAGTGCTGCATCACCCATGTGCTTGTTGCACAGATGTCAATTTAGGTGGAAAATGTGGACATCAGTGATTGAATTGAAAAGTGACTCAGTAATGAGATTTTTGAATGCAAGATTTAAGAAAGGCTTAACCAATTTGTTTGCTTATATTTTCCTTCTTTAAACATGTGCATGAATGGTATGTGCTTAAAATCTACATCTAAGTAAGTCTGAAAGAGTGCTTCAATAAATATATAATCAAGACTCTAAGTGGTAAAGCATCCTGTCATAGTTTTGTTCTTTGTGGTACATAAAATACTAATGTTATTACAATTGCTGGTGCCTCATATTCAGTGAAATACAGGCTATACAGTAAATGCGTTTCAGGCTCTAGTTTCTACTTACTGCTTTACTTTGGATAACGACAAGTTTTGATTTATGGTACTTAAGTCATTGACCATTAAGCACCTCATGATTTCCAATGCGGTGTCCTCGTTTATATGAAATATTTAGAAGTGTGGTTTGAGTTTCCAAGCTTACGGATGTTTTTGGCTGTCTTTTTAGTATTGATTTCTAGTTGTATTGCATTGTGGTCGGAGAGTGTGGTCTATGTTACATTTGTTGACACGACTTTTATGGCTTGTAGGTTGATGGTTACTCCTTTGGCTGTTGGGAACCTGTACTCTCTCCTTCGTAGCTCCGTGTCTTTCTCGGCTCCTCCCCTGTGCTCCACTCCACCCAGCTAGCTACTCACACCTCAAGCAACCAATCGACCCTACCTTTACCTAGGGCTGCTCTAGGTGCCCTGGCATATTCCAGAACTGCTCTTCTCATGCTTGGCTGGCTCTGAGAATCACCTGAGGTGCTTCTTAACCATACTGACACCCAGGTCTTCCCCTGCAGGTCTGGGTCAGAGCCCTGGGATCTTGAGTGTTGAACCAAGTGCCCTAAGGTGATCCTTGTGATTGAGCAAATTCGAGAAACTCTGGGCAGTTCGGCATCAGGAAGTGGGATGGTATAGAATGCAGTGGTGGGGCTAGACTTGAAGAGGAGGAATATCACTGCGGAATGTGAGCCTAATTTATGCAGGGGATGGAATTCAAATGGCGGGTTCCCCGGCCTCACTTAGAGAGATTCCAATTCAGTATCTGTGATGGGATTTAAGAATCTGTATTTTTAACAGGGTTCTCAGGTAATTCTGACGCAGACAGTCCTTATGCCATACCCTGAAAAACCCAAAAATGGGGATCCTGGGAGGGGAGGGAATTGTACTCAAGAGTCCCAGAAGTCTGACTCCTATTTTTTGTAATTTTCTTGTAACTAGGGGTTACATTGTGTCTATTGAGCTTCCATGCGCTTTAAAGTTATGCATAAAGAAATGCAATATCCATTCCTCTGACTTTTTTTTTTTTAAGTGACTGGGCAGGCACACAGCTCTGTAGAATGATGAGAGAACATGAATCAGTAATTCTATAGCAGAGTGAAGATAATGGTTATGATTCTGTATCTGAGAGCCCCGGCTTTCAGGACTCCCTTACTTGGGGAGTTTGGGGAGTTATAATTCTTTTTCACTTATTTGCTCAAATATTTGTTGAGCATCTACTTTGTGTCAGGCACTTTTCTGGGTGCTGCGAAGATGAATAAGAAATAATAACAAATCTGGTGGGGAAGACGTGTATATAAATTAATGACAACGCTCCTGTGTGAGGGGAATCCATGGAAGTTTCTGATGGCAAGTCTTTGGATTACTCCTCAGTCTTTCCATGAATAAATCCTTTGGAAGATTGTCTTGAGGTGCTCAATACAATGTACAGATCTATAGCTTGATTCAGATGTTCTCTCTTTCACTTAATTCCAAGTAGGTTAAACTCTGGAGGGTCAAGTAGTCTAGCATATGGTTAGGATTTTTGACTTGAGTGTCACAAGAGCTGCTATCAAATCTGGACCCAGGTGTTTATTTTCTGTGTGATCTTAGGCAAGTTGCTTAACCATCTGTGCCTTAGTTCCCTCATCAGTAAAATGGAAGGATAAGCAATACTTACGTCTGTGGGTGTTATGGGAATTAAGTGGGATAATGTGTGTAAAATGTTAACATAATCCACAGTATACAATACATGCTCAATAAATGTTAGTTTTAAAAAAAGTAATTTATATAATCCAGGGAACAAGACGGAGGGGTAGGTATTTCATTTCATTAATGAAATCCAATGGTGATGTGTTACAGGTACTAAACACAGTGATTTTCCGGAATCTAAGGGATGCTTTGCTAACACGACATCCTCTGGCAGAAAGGTCAGCCCCTCATCTTCTGTTGAAACATGTCTTAGTGTGAGTGAGCCTCCAGGCCTCTGCAAAGTGTCTGTTCACCTAGAGTAAGTAAGGGTTCAATAAAGACCATAACTATCGGGGTAAATTCTGACCAGGAAGCCAACATTCTGAGAGGTAGCATGACGTGTTTGGCAAGAGCATGGATTCTGGAGCCAGGCTGTCTAGGTTCAAACCCCAGCTCCGCCAAGTTCATCTCTGTGAACTTGGGAAAATTACTTTACCTTCCTGGGCCTCAGTTTTCTCATCTGTAAAATGGAGATAATACTTCATAGCATTGTTTTGAGGTTTAAATGAGTTAATACATGGAAAGGGATTGGAAGACTCCATGACACACAATATGTGTTGTAGGCATGCCTGTTATTATGAAGTTCAAAGCAAGCGAAACCAAGCTATATTTTTTGGAATACATACTTAGGTGGTAAATCTTAAAGAAAAGCAAAGCCATGGTTACCGTGAGAGTTAGAGTCAGGATAGTGGTTAATTCTCGGGGATGGGGACACACAAATGGTTTCTGGAGAACAGTGGGTTGGGGGAACAGTGGGAGGGGAGGGCTGGCTTTATAATTATTTGTAAAACTGTATTTGTTGTGAGTGCTTTTCTCTGTTTAGATTTCTTTACAGTAAAAAGTTTTGGAAGCCTTTTTTTTTAATGGCTTTTGTTATAAGGAAATTAAGTACACTGTAGAAATTTTCAAAGTATAAAAACAATATTAAAAATAAAAATCATGGTAATTCCACATCTTAGAGAATCAATATTAACGTATTTTTTATTTATTTTATTTTATTTTATTTTATTTTATTTTTTTTTATAAATTTTATTTATTTATTTGACAGAGAGCACAAGTAGGCAGAGAGGCAGGCAGAGGGAGAGGGAGAAGCAGGCTCTCCGCTGAGCAGAGAGCCAGACGTGGGGCTCGATCCCAGGACCCTGGGACCATGACCTGAGCCGAAGGCAGACGCTTAATGACTGAGCCACCCAAGCGCCCCTTAACGTATTTTTTAAAGCTTTATTTTTAAGTAATCTCTACGCTCTACGTGGGGCTTAAACTCACAACCCCAAGGTCAAGAGTCACACATTCTACAGATTGAGCCAGCCAGGCGCCCCTTAATGTTAACATTTTGATGTTATTATTTTTATGTGCATAAGAAAAAAGTCTTCACCCTTATAAAGTGTGCAATTCAATGATTTTTAGTGTATTTACTAAACCATCACCACGATCAATTTTAGAACATTTTCATCACCTCCAAAGAGAACCCCATCCTTTTGAGCAGTCACTCCTGCCATGTCCCCTACCTGCCCCCCCCGCCGCCCCAGCCCTAGACAACCACGGATGTACTTCCTATCTCTATAGACTTGCCTAGTCTGGACATTTCATATAAATGGAATATGTAGTGTTTGGTGTCTGGCTTCTTTCATTCAGTGTTACGTTTTCAAGTTTCATCTATGTTGCAACATGTATCAGTACATCATTCCTTTTTTTAAAAAAATTGGGGTGAATTATACATAACATAACATTTGCCATTTTATCCGTTTTTTACCCATTGGCATTAATTACCTTTCAACCATCACCGCTATTTTTTTAAGGATTTTATTTATTTATTTGACACAGAGAGAGAGAGAGGGAGAGAGCGAGCACAAGCAGGGGGAGCGGCAGAGGGAGAGGGAGAAGAAAGCTCCCCGCTGAGCAAGGAGCCCGATGTGGGGCTCAGTCCCAGGACCCCAATATCATGACCTGAGCCAAAGGCAGACGCTTAACAGCTGAGCCACCCAGACGCCCCCATCATTGCTACTTTTTAAAACATTTTCATCAGTCCAAACAGAAGTGCTATACCCATTAAGCAATAATTCCCCATTCTCCCCTCTCCCCAGACCCTGGTACTCTCATCTGCCCTAATCTACTAACCTGATCTACTTTCTGTCTCTCTGAATTTACATATTAAGATATTTCATATAAATGAGGTCATACAATATTTGTCCTTTTGTGTTTGGCTTATTTCACTTAACACAATATTTCAAGTTTCATTCATGTTGTAGCATGTATCAGAACTCCATTCCTTTTTATGACTAAATAATATTCCATTGTATGTCAATGTCATCTTTTGCTTATCCATTCATCGGTCAGTGAACATTTGGGTGGTTTCCACTGTGTGGCCAATGTGAGTAATGCTGCAAAGAACATTCGTTTACAAGTATCTGAGTCTCTGTTTTCAATTCTTTGGGGGTATATGGCTAGGAGTGGAATTGCTGGGTTATATGGTAATTCTATATTTAACATTTTGAGGAACTACCACAATGTTTTTAAGGATGCATCTTTTGACTATGTGTCAGTCCCCTCAAATTGTGAGCTAATAAATAATATGTCATGGACATATTTATGGAGGGGCAGGCCTAGTTGTCATAAGGGAGGGTAATTCTAGTGTAAAATATGTAAAATCAGGTTCTAACTACTAATTTAAGCACATGGGTGAGTCTAATCCTTCAGCTTCCTTTCCAGCCTGGCTGCAGATTTGGGTCTGAAATCCTCCTCCGCACATTCTGATCACTCCTCTGAAACCTCATTGCCTGACGTCCCAAAGCATAAATATCCTGAGGAGTTCAGCCTGCTTAAATTGCAGACAAGTGAGTGCGTCATAGCCCCTCCCCTGCGTGTGTCCATGCCCAGGGCTTTCCAGAAGTCTGCTGTAGGGTTAGGCACTGTTCATTGGAGACTCAGGAAGTGCCAGGTGTTGGACACGCTTCATCTCTAAGTCTCACAGTGACTCTGCTGAGGAGCTGTCTTTATATGTTTTCCAAAACTAAAATGGCTTTATATAAAAACCATAAAAGTACCATAGTAAAGTATTAAAATAATAAGGGAATATTTAGAGTATAGAAACCCCTTCCCCAGTGTTTTCCAGCCGTATCCCCATTATGCCCTGTACCCATGAGGAATTTTGAAGCATGTATATGCATGTATGTATGTACTTAGGTATATATGGTTTGTAGGGTATATACAACCATATTTGCACTCGTGGAAAATAGGAGACAAACTGTTTTCACTCAAGGCAAATAGATCATGGACCTCTTTCTGTGTCATACATGTAAATCTAGGTGGCTAAAATAGACCTACCCATTTTACACAGAAGACAACTGAGGCTTGGAGAGACTTAGTCACTCATACGAGAACAGCTAGGAAGTACAGTGGTGGGATTGGAATCCGAACATGCCGGTCTCCAGAGCCTGTGTGCTTTCTTGGCCACCACGGAGCCCAAGGGCTTCTCATGCAACATTAGCACTGTTAGGGGATCTCTCATTGTTTAACATCACGGTTTATAGGAAAAGTATTGAATGAGGAAACAAAGACACGGACAGATCCAGTAACCTGCCTGAGGTCCCGCAGCGGCCTTTGTCATTTGCCCAGGGTTGCGTGGAGACATTTCCCGGTGTCATTCTAGCTGTTGCTGCCGACACCTGCCAACACCGCGGGTCATCCGGCTAAGATGCTATGGTTGGCCTGGCCCTTCCCTGGCTGATGGGCATTCTCTTTTTCCTACCCACTTATCTGAGTGAAGGTTGGATTGTAGGTGCTTGTAAAAGTGTCTCTGAGCTTCCCATTCCATACATTACTTCCAACCGTAAAATTGGCTTTATTTTTGGACGAGAGGATAAAAAGGGAAAAAAAAGAAGCTTCTTAGATACCTTTCCCCTCACTTCCTTTCCTTTCAGGCCTAGTTCCCCAGAGGTTAGCATTGGCCCAGTTGTAGAACCAAGGGATTATACACGTTGATAAAGTACAGGCCAGTCAGAGAATGCCTGGGACAATTTTTCTGTGATTTAATTGCATTATGGGAGGCTGGAAGCGATGCTGATGGAAGGATTTCTGATGTCTTGCAGAAGATGGGCAACGTCCCGAATGGACATTTTACCCGAGATTTATTAACAATATCCACACCTACCATGTTGGAAAGCAGTGTTTCTTTAACGGGGTCTTCCTCGGCAACAGGAGGTCTCTGTCAGAGAGAATGGTGGACAAGTGCTTTGGGAGGAAGAAATATGGTAATATTTTTCTCCTGGACCTTGACTGTGCCATGCCTAAAAATACTCCCTGAGTTATGGTTCTGCAGGCCCAACACTCCATGGCTGGCATCCGCCCTCTGGGGTTACCATGTCACTCTAGCGCAGCCAGGAAGATGGGAAGGTGAAGGGGATGGTTGGCAGACTGCACTTTCTGGCAAAGAACTTACAACATATGCTGATCCACATTTTTGTTTTTCTCTGAATTTTCATAAAATGCTAATGTGACATTTAAGTCCTCAGATAAGTTCTCTCAGATACTTATTAATAGAAACCTTCATTCAAGTCTGCAGAAAATAATTTATGTTTCAGTTAGATGCTGCCCATCATATGTATTTAAATTGTACATTATAGTCTTCAAAAGGAAAATATTCCCATAAACCTTAGCCTGAAGTGCATGCTGTTATTTCATAGCTTATTTAATTAAAGGTAATTGAGATGAGTGTGTGTATATATATATATATA